GGGGGGGGGGAAAAAAATCAGGAACACTTAATAAGATGACTCACTTAAAAACACACTTAATAGAGCCAACTGTAGGTTTGTACATTAAGAAACAAAGATACACCATACTTCTAGGATAGAAAACTATTTTTAAATTCTGTGACACTGAAAAGGACCTGGGAGTTAACAGCAGATAAGCTACTTGAATATGGTAGTAGCTGCTAATCCACTGCTAAGGGCAAGTGCAATCTTGGATATGTAAGTAAGAATATCAAGAAGTAAAATGATAGTATTACCCATTGTGTAGCATTAGTGAGACTACAGATTACTAAAGTATCAAATCTAGTTCTGATGTCCTTGCTTCACAAAAGGATGTTGAAAAATTAGATGGACTTCAGAGAGTTAAAAAAATTATTCTAGGTTGGAAAAACAACATAGGATTAGTGAGAAACTTAAGTAGCTCAATCTAAAAACTTAAGAAAAGAAACTAATAGTCAGGCTCTCAATGGACATGAATGGAGAAATTACTGATAAATCAATAGCTCTTCGGTCTAGCAAAAAAGGCAAAATTTAACTGAGGATAAACTGCCACTGAAACAATTTACACGGAGAATCCATCATATTCCTATCACTACAGGTGCACCAATACATCAGTCGGATATCAGATCAGCACCGATATAAAAGAAAGTTGACTGTTGGAAATCAGCCCAATGTGGCTGATAAATGCCCCATGCATGTGCACAGCTGTAGGTGGCAAGGAACACATGGAGAGTTGTGTGCAGCTAGTAGGTCTGTTGAGGTGGAAGGGAAGGGAAGGGAAGAGAAGGGGCGTGGTGGGAGCAGATCAAGGCCCCCATGTGGAGGGCGGGAGTGGGGCTGGGGCAGGGCACAGGACAGAGCCACAGCTTGTCAGGGGGGGCTGTTCTCGCTGCTGCGTGCAGCCTGGGGGGTGGGGGGGAGTGCCCCCAGATCTGTGTGGGGTCTGGCAGGGCAGGCTGCCATTGCAGGCTGGGGCTGGTGCTGTACTATGCTCTTCCTGGCAGGGGCTGGGCTGGGCTGTGCTCGGGTAGGCAGTAGCAGTGCTGGGAGGAGGACTGGGGGGGGCTATGGCAAATTTTGGAGTTGCTGCAGCCCTGCCCCGCCCCTCCCCCAAGATGCTGCCACTGGCCCAACCACAGCCTGGCCTAGCCCCCGCACCAGGAAGAGTCTAAGGCAGCCCCAGCCCGGAACTGCAGCCTGCCCTGCCCCACATGCAGATCCAGGGACACAGCCGCCCCATGCCCTCCTTGGTTACATGCAGCAGGGGAAGCCACCCTGCCACTTCCTGTGCCCCCTGGATGAGCTGCAGCTCCGTCCCACACCCTGCCCAGGCAATGCCTGCCCCAGCCCCACTCCCTCCCTCATTGCAGGGGCCTTGATTTGCCCCCACCACACCCCTTCCCTTCCACCACAGCAGACTTGCCACTGCACTTCAAGCTGTCGGGCTGCGTATTGAAAAAGCAGATTAGTATCGGCCAATATGCCTCCTTAAAAATCAGCTATTGGCACTGGCCCCAAAAATCTCTATCAGTGCACCCTGACTTATTACAGTAAAAGCTCTGTTATCCGGCACCCCCGGGAATGGCGGATGCTGGGTAACAAAACATGCCGGTTAATTGAGCAGCCCCAACTGCCGCCTCTCCCGCGGCGTCTGGGGCATCCCTCCGCCCCTCCTGCTGCATCGCCACCCATTCTGCAGGACAGGGAGGCAGGCCCCACACAGCCTGTTATGCCCTCAGGCCGTGGTGGCTTGGCAGCACAGGCTGGTTTGCCCCCAGCCATGGGGACTCAGAGAAACCAGAAGTGCTGCGGTGGGCACTTCCGGTTTCACATCATCTTACAAGCCAGCATGCTGGTTAGTACAGCATGCCAGCTTGTAAGATGCCGGATAGCACAGCTTTTACTGTACTTGGAATTTTTAAATCAAGGCTGGATTTCTTTCCAAAAGACGGTGCAACACAAACAAAAAAGTTACAGGCTGACTGTAATAATCTGTGTGGTGTTATATGGTCTATGTTATTCAGGAGATTATAGAGTAGTGTCACCATTAGCCTTAACATTTATAAAAGCTATAGTGACACAGTAAAGTGTGCATTTGTCAGAGAGGAGAAAACACTTGAGTGGCAGACTAAAAGAAAACATACAAATTAAAATTCTCTGAAAAGTCTGAATTGGTCAACTCTAAATTTATCCATAATTTAATAATTCAAGTCCTGTTTAAGATTCATAGCGGTAATGATTTCAAGAGACGTGCCTCGGTTATACATCATATGAAAACAAATTTCAAAGACAGTAGCCTGGTGTTGAATTGCAAGAACTCACATGGGAAATTAAAAGCAACAACTAACCATAACTGAATTAATATAGCTGGATCATCATACAAGTCATCACAAAACTAAAGTGCACCTGTACCTGACCAATTTCTTACCTGTAAAACATTACTCTCTGCTTCCTCCCCAGTGATCACTTCTACCTTCTCCAACAAACATTTCCTTGCAGTTGCTTTGGTATAGGCTGCTGCAGACTCTGCCAGCGATTCTGAAATATTATTAACTGAACAACATTTTAAAGTTTATTTTGGGTGTTATTTACATAAAACTGCAAGACAAGAAGTATGTGCAATCATGCAGTTTGCCATTTATTGATACACAAAACCAGTTAATAGACTTTTCCTCTGGAGCATAACTACCTGTCCAGATTATGAAAGCTTTCATCAGGACTTGGGGAACTGCTATATACAAAACAGAGGAAAGCAGGGCATTAGAAACAAATGTAAATTTAAATCAGACAATTATTCCATTCTCCACCTTTCACTCCAGCAGCAGTTTCTCTTCCATTTTAAAACCATAAATCAGAAGTTGAGGGGGAAGGTACCAGTAAATAGCAATCTGGTCCTTTCCTTAAGTGTCACTACAAAGAGGACAAAATAAAGCCTTTGGAAAATAAAGGCTTATGCCCACATCTGCAAATACGACAATAGTAACCAGTTACAACCATGCCTGCATTTGAAGATCCATCCATATTTTTATACACTTTGGCTCAATTCTGGTAGTAATTAAGGGCTCAGACCAGAGGTAAGCAACCCCTGGCATGGGTGCCGGAGCATGGCACACATTTTGCTTGGCACTCACGCCTTGGGACACATGACAAGGAAGGGGCTGGGACTGCACTGCCACAACAAGGATCAGGCTCCTCACAGCTCACTTGTCATCTGCCCCTGGCAGGCCAACATCTTACAAGTTGAGGTTGCAGGTGTTTTTGGCACTCTGCCCAAAAACGTTGCTGACCTCTGGCTTAGACACATAAAATGTTTAAAATGAGAAGAGGAAGGGAGAGCATGTGCTGCTGAGCATGGCAAGGCATAATAGTTAAAAAAAAACTCTCCTGGGGAGCAGAAAATGTGGATCCGTCTCAGTACAATGGAAGATGTGGACAGACAAAAACCCTGAAACCAGTTTAGTCCTGGCTCATGAGTAGCAACAGAACAGTCAAGGCTAATCCATATCAATTTCAAATGTTCTGATTCAGGGTTTCTCTATATACAGTACCTCCCTGCTTGAGCCAAGTTGTTTGCTCATTGACTCCAAGATGAACATGGGCTGGCAGTGTGGGGATGCAGTCAGGAAGGCCAACTGCACCTTGTCATGCATCCACAGATGCATCTTGAGCAGGTCCAAGGAGGTGATCCTCCCCCTCTATGTGGCACTGGTCAGGCCGCAGCCGGAGTACTGCGTTCAGTTCTGGGCACCGCACTTCAGGAGGTATGTGGACAACATGGAGAGGGTCCAGAGGAGGGCCAGTCGCATGATCAGGGGGCAGCAGGGCAGGCCCTACAAGGAGAGGCTATGGGACCTGAACCTGTTCAGCCTCCACAAGAGAAAGCTGAGGGGGGATCTAGTGGCCTGTTACAAACTAGTCAGGGGGGACCAGCAGGCACTGGGGAAGTCCCTGTTCCCCTGAGCACTGCCAGGAGTGACCAGGAATAATGGTCACAAGCTGGCAGAGGGTAGATTTAGGCTAGATATCAGGAGGC